ACTCCAACTCAAAAAAAAAAAAAGATGAGGAAATGGGCCAGGCACAGTGGCTCCCATCTATAATCTCAGCACTTCGGGAGGTGGAGGCAAGAGGATTGCCTGAGCCCAAGGGCTCGAGACCAGCCTGGGCAACTTGACAAGACCTTGTCTCTACAATAAATGTGGTGTGTGCCTGTAGTCCCAGCTATTTGGGAGGCTGAGGCAGAAGGATTGTCTGAGCCCGGAAGACCGAGGCTGAGGTAGCTGTGAGTGTGCCACTGCCCTCCAGCCTGGGTAACAGAATGAGACTCTGACTCTAAATAAATAAATAGGAAACTGAAGCATAGAGAATGTATATAATCTGCCAAGATGATCCAGTCAGTAATGATGGATCTACTTCTGATTTCCAGAGAGTGTACTTAACAACTACATTGTACCATCAGACCTTAATTTTGATATCCTATCCTCAACTCTAGTATGGTATATTGCAAAAACGTCCCAAACCTTTGCCCCTCCCTTATCTGTGTCCTCTATACTGTGACTTTGCAGCTCAGCCTGTCATCAAGAGGCAAAATCACCTTCCCTAGTCCTTGAATCCAGGCTGGCCTTGACACCTGCACTGACCAATGGAACATGGTGGAAGCGCTGAGGAACTAGTTTCAAGCTGAGGCCTCAAAGAACCTCTCATGCTTCCCCCTTCCCAGAACCCCGCCACTGCCACGTGATTAGGTCCAGGTTAGCATGCTGGAAACTGAGAGACATGTGGAAAAGATCCCCTTGTCCCAGCAGAGACTGTCCAAGACTTGTCTACATTTAATCAACCCTCAGCCATGTGAAAGACCCCAGCCAAGATCATCAGTCTAACAGCCCAGGAGCAGGATGGTGTTCAAGGCTCCTCATATGCATCAGCCAGTTGCTTTCCAGGACAGGTATAAGGACAACCTGATGACTGGAGAGCTCAGAATAAGGCCAGCTGGCACTCCAGGATGTGGGTGCAACATGGACCAAAGAAAACTGAAGAAGCATGGGGTGTGTTCAGAGAAGAGTGTGAGGAGACTATTTTGATGGCAGACCTGCTATGCTGAAGGGGTTGATGGGGAATAAACCTGAAGAACAGCAGGCGAGCTTAGCCATTTCTACCAATTTAGTAGGTGTTGAGAAGCCTTTAAACATACAACAATGTTCATTTTCTCCTCACAATACCACAAGGGAAGTGTTGTGGTTTCCAGTTACAGAAAAGAGGCCCAAAGTCAGGATCTGAATAGAGGCAATCAGACTCTGGAGCCTGCTGGTATCCACTTACTACAAAACGGTAATGGAGGGCCAGGCAGATGGCGCCTGCCTATAATCCCAGCACTTTGGGAGGCTAAAGCAGGAGGATCACTTGAGCCCAGGAGTACAAGACTAGCCTGGGCCAAAAAACGAGACCTCTTCTCTACAAATTTTTTTTTTTAAATAGCCAGGCATGGTGGCATGTGCCTATAATCCCAGCCACTCAAGAGGCTGAGGCAGAAGGATTACTTGAGTACAGGAGTTCGAGGCTGTGATGAGTCATGATCATGCCACTGCACTCCAGCCTGGCCAATAGCATGAGACTAAAGATGCAGAGAACAGCTGTGAAGACACAGTAACTGGCCAAGAAAGAAGTGAAGGCCTGACCTGAGGAAGTAGCAGTGGAGATAGGGAGAAAGAGGATAGGCCGCAACAGGGGGCAGTGGATTGAGTGGCCAATGTGAGCATGAGGAGAGTCCCAGCGGAAGGTTACAATGACACGCCCCGGTGACTACGAAGGTCTGGTGTCATCATCTGATACTGAGAATGCAGAACCTCCTTCCAGTCTATTGATTCTGAAATGCCCGTCTGGGGTGAATACAGGGAGAACTGCAAGTGCATTCATTGGACGAAGCAGCGCGAAGGCATGAGAAACACACTTGGGGCAGCTGCGGGGAGCTCAGTCAATTCCTCATTTCTGAAACGGAGACGCTGCATTAAACGCACTTGGATTTTTCCAGCATTAACAACAGACAGAATTCCTAGTCATGACTATCCATTGATTTTGTTGGTAATCTACTGAAGAAATGTAATAAACTTAAATATTGTTTTCTACAACAATACTGAATTTTCTATTTGGAGTTTTTACTGAGAATTAAAATTTTATACTTTTGTGTCTATATGCTTTTTAAAAATCTAGTATTTAGTCCCAGTTTAGAATTTCACTTCCTTACAGTTTACTTTTTGCTTCTTTTGTTCATTCTGTTTGTGATACTCAAAATCAAAATTTGGAAAAGAGGAAACATATCTAATATTTATTGAGTATCTACTATGTATCTGGCATCTTGTACACACACATGTATATATTCACACATATATATACACATACACACACATACACATTCACACACACACACGTATATCTATTTCCTCCTTAAAATATAGTATTGTGAAGCACAGGTAAATTTAACCCCATTCTACCAATGAGGAGATAAGGTTTAGATGGGTTAAATGATTTGACCTAATTAGTTAAAAGCTAATTAAAGATAGAGCTGGCAAAAGGAAGTAAAACTAGCTTTATCTTTCATAGACTTCCTAGTCATCAGTGCTTTTATTACAATATTGACTAAGAGATGCGGGTAATAATGTCCTATTTCCCAGAACAGAAATGTTGAGAACACTGTTTGAAGATTTATGCTTCAATCCGAAACCCAAGATCTAGTTGTGTTGCTAAATTTCATGGGGGGAAAGTGCCTAAATTGCAACTGATGAAAAACAGATGTGAATTCAAATCTGAGTTTTGCCATGCTGGTTTGTACCATTTGGCAGGCCACTTAACCAATATGAATCATAATTTTCTCAGCTGTAAAATTCAGGATAATAAAAGGTCACTTACAAAGTTATTATGAGAGCCAAGAAGAGAATATTCATGGAAGCACCCATCCCATGCTTATTGGGGCACCTAATAAATAATAGTTTTTTTCTTTCCAAAAGCTTTCAGGTCCTGGAATGTATCACTGATCTATGAACTTTGTGCAAAGAATACAGATCATTTCCCAGCTATGTTAATAACCAGCTGTATTGAATTTGAATTCGCAATGCATATTCATGGTTTAGTGGTAAAATCCATCAAGTGATTTTTTTTTCAGATCTATCATAAGTGGGCAACTCAAAGGCATTGCCACATGAAAGTTAATCACAGTCTGCATAGTATGAGCCTATTAAGAGGTATAGGTGAAAAACATTTCCTACACTAACATTCAGCACGAGCAGGAAACTAGAAACCCACACATTCTGCTGACTCTCGCTGATGTCAACCCCAGCTCAGTCCTTACCTCTGATTCATTCTTTCATCATAGCATAAATCTCAGCAAAATGACATACACATCCATGAAACAAAGATTTAAATTTATATGTAGTTCTTCCCATGAGCAGGAGGCGAAATGTTGTTTTCATAGGCGAGCAAAGAACCTAGAAAGACTGCTGTTTTCAGCTCTTTCTCTTTTCCAGTGCTGACCCCTCTATTCTTCCTCAAATGCTTTTTCCCCCATCAAAACATGTCCTCCAAAAAGTAAGTGATTAATTCATCCTCATTAAAGGGTAAAGAATAAAACTTCATGTCTCCCAGGGGCATTTATCTACACCATAATTGGGTATAAGGTCACTGGCTTCAGTGAAAGGAATGTGAGTCTAGCGGTGCTTGTTAGGCACTGTCCCCCAAGCAGCTACAAAGAACAATTTTAGCTATGGGAGCCTTCATGCTGTGCCCTAAGTCAAATCAAAGGGCCACCACCAGCACTTAAAGCTGGATACAGCTATCAGATATCACCCCAAAGTGCCTTTATCCAGTTCCCTAACATACTCATTCATCAAGTGCTTCTGATTAGAGCTATGGAGGCCTCATTCTGGCTATGCCACCACAGCCCCAGTGACTGCCACCAAGCCACAACCATCAGCTTCTTGGGATTCCCAGGAGACTGTTGGAGATGCCAGGTGGGTGAGAATGAGTTCCTGCTTCGGAAGGGGGAGAGGGAGGCCTGCCTCCACTATTGCAAAGGAGCCAAATCCCACGGCTCAGAACAGCAGCCGATGAAGCAAAGGATGACCAAAGCAGAGTAAATAAATGCTGAGCTCAGAAAGGAAAGTCCTTCCGTGCCTGAACAAGTCTCTGCAATGCTTGTACAGTTACCCCCCAGGCAAACTGATCTCTACTAAAAGACTGGTAAGAGTTTTTAACACAAGAGTGTCCATTGCTGGCAGTCTGATAGTAGTGGGTTATCAGAACTTGTTAACATTAATATCACTAAAATTGGCATACAACCTCCTACCGCTAAATTTGACTGGCTTCTTTTTAAAAAGTGACAACTATCCCCCCAGGAAGAATCAGAGAAGGCTGAACCTCCCCACTACTCACCTGAGATCCATATCTCCATCAACCCAGAAAGTGAAAATATTAGAGATCGTTCCCCCTGGGCAGCAGCCCATGATGAGAACAGCCACGGCCTGGATGGGCTTCAGAGAGAAGCTGAGGGCCAGGAGGTAGGCTGTCAACGGCATGAGCCCAAACTGGCATAGCAGTCCCACGGCGATGCCCCAGGGTCTCCTGATGTGGCACCACAGCTTCCGGGCATCCACAGAGCATCCCAGGGAGAACATCAGCAGCCCCACCATGACCGCAGACAACACAGTAAAGACGAGCTCCAGGCCCCCGTGCGCCCCCAAGCCCGCCGGCAGCTTCTCCTCCGAACGGTTGGCGGGGCAGGCAGAGCTGCTGGAACAATTGGCTCTCATCTCCTCATCTCCTCAAGGCAGCATGACAAGTGAACCTCGGTGAAGACAGCAGGCACGTCTATCCAGCCACATTTTGTAATAATGCAACCGAGTCACACGTGGAGAATCCCTCCAGTAGCTACTGGCCAGCCGGGTGACTCATCCTAATCTGATCAATGTATTCACAGGCAGCGTTATAGAAGTCATGATCGCCTGCACGAAACAGACCATCAACCGTGGCGAGGAGTAAGGCTTTCCACTTCTGTTCTTACTCACTGCTGGGTATTTACATGAAACGAAACAAGCAAGCTCGTTGTCAAGACCAGGCAATGTCGTCAGCATCACATTGTGTTCCAGGAAAGTAGATTGGATGCCAAGATACAATTTCTCCAAATCCTGTAGGCATTTCAAAGAGCCAGGATGCAATGTTATGCAAAGAGAAACTAACTCCGGAAAAAACAAAGGCAGTTGGACCAGAGCCATGCCTCAGCGTCGAGCAACGCATTTCTGTTGGAAATATTAAAGCAAAAGTTAAGGAAGAGGCAAGAGGAGCTGGGAATCATTTCAAGAGATCTGCTGACGTTAGACTCAGTTTTTCTTCTGTTTCTGTTAGAATTCATGTCTAGCCGAGCTCGGTGGCTCAGCCTGTAATCCCAGCACTTTGGGAGGCTGAGGTGTGTGGATTGCCTGAGCCTGAGGGTTCGAGGCCCATCCGGGCAGCTTGGCAAGACCTCATCTCTATAATAAATTAAAAATTAGCTGGGCATGGTAGTGCACGCCTGTAGTCCTGGCTACTTGAAAGGCTGAGGTGGAAGGATCGCTGGAGCCCAGCAGGTCGAGGCTGCAGTGGCTGGGAGCATGTCACTGCACTCCAGTCTGGGCACTCCAACTCAAAAAAAAACAAAAGAATTCATGTCTAGCGCCAACACCTGCAAGAATAATAAGGCATTAAGCACCTACCCAAAATAATTCAAACAACTGAAAACTCATTGCTTCACCAAAATAATTGAAGAGCTGTCACTGTGTTTTAGAGATTCGAGTCTGTGTGGAAGAAGTTTGTGGGGGATGTCTGGAATCCTACCAGAGAAGGCAACCAGAAGCTGGATCGGGACAGGGGCTGGGGACTTGAGGACAGCTGCTGACAATGCCCTGGGGCCCCCCTGTGCATTCTAACCAGGCACTGGAGACAAAACCAGACAAGGACAACATGGTTCCATGAAACAACCCTTCCAAAAATCAGGTGTCACACCCTTTCTCACAGACAGCAGAGTTTCTTTGTAGGGCATAGGCTGGTCACAAGGCATACTTCATAAACGCCTCTACCTGTCTCGAGAGACACACCAGCCATACATTGTCTATTCTTGGATCAGCACGTCCTTTTCCATGACAGAATGTTCAGGGCATGTTGGTTGCTGAGAAACACAAGTTGACTACAAATACGAAGCAAATTCTAACTATCTGAAAAAGAAGAGATTGCCTTAGTCAAACACACCCTGAAAGGAGCTCTAAGGGTAGACCCTCCCTGGAGGCCTAAGGGACCCGCATGAGGGTGTTTATGCAGATCCAAGCAGAGAAATAGACACTGAGACATAGGAATGTCTCTGTAAACTAGGTGTTTTCAGCTTGAATGACGCAGAGGTATGGTCAGGCTGAGGAAAAATGGGAGAGAGAAAGCTAACATTTTCTGAGCACTTTTGGGTGACAGGGTGGGCTAGGTACTTTACACACATGTGGCTGTGTCTGGTAAAGTAAAACTTTTTTTTTTTCTAATTTACTGATTTAGTAAGAGAAGGTGCCAGATGCTTCTGTCTGGATAATGTCAACAAGTTCCTTAGAGGCTCACACCAGTAATCCCAGTACTTTGGGATGACGAGGTAGGAGGATTGCTTGAGCCCAGGAGTTCAAGACTAGCCTGGGCAACATAGCGAGACCTCGTCTCTATCAAAAATTTAAAAATTAGCCAAGCATGGTGGTGTGTGCCTATAGTCCCAACTCCTCAAGAGGCTGAGGTGGAACGATGGCTGTGCCCAGGAGGTTGAGGTAGCAGTGAGCCATGATCATGCCACTGCACTCCTGTCTGGGTGAGAGTGAAACTCTGACGTACACACACACACACACACACACACACACACAAAGTTCCTTGGCAGTAGACCACTGCTATCAGGAAGAGTCACTTGCATGGACCTTTTTAGTTACACAAATTTAAGTTTAGTAAGCATCTCCATTCCTGATGAGGATGGTGTGACAGGAACTTTTGTGCTGGGTATTCAATGCTGAGTGCTGAGGGCAGGGGGCTAAGTTTACATAGCAGCTTAAGGAGCATCCTAGGGAGGAAGAAGGTGACCTTGGCCACTTCCCTTTTGAAATTTAGTGTTGTCAGAGTTTCTCCAATGAATTAGAATGTTTTTATATGAAGTCTGCTGGCAGGGAGAAACATCCAGGTCCTAACACCCACCATAAAAGGAAAGGGTGCCATGCCTGGTGACAGGCTCCTCTGTATCCAGTCACCCTGGAAAGATGTCACTGGATGACACAAGTTGCAGTGACTAAGTAGAGGATGATCCCTGAAGAGAAGTAATCCTGAGGTCACAGGCTTGGGCACTGCCCTAATGGGCGTCAGGAATAGACCAGAGGGGCGCTGGCCTAGGGTGGGAGGGAACACAGCAGAAGTCCCAAAAAAAGCACAGCAGTGAGGCCAGGTCCTGCTAGCAGTCCCACCAGGTTTTCCCAAGTCTCTCCCCAGCTGTGGTTGGGAAGGAGGACTTCCTTGGGAAGAGTGAGACCCTAGGGTTTCTGGTTAACTTGTAAAGAAGAGTTCAAATGCAGGATCCCAGACATATCAGCAAGTAGAGTTTCAAATGTTTAACTAGAAAATTTTATTTTTGTTAATTAGTTAAGATCAGGTCTATTTATTTTTTATTTTTTTTATTTTTTTTTTTGAGTCAGAGTCTCACTGTCACCCAGGCTGGGGTGCAGAGGCACACTCACGGCCACAGCAGCCTCAACCTGCTGGGCTCAGGCGATCTTTCCACCTCAGCCTTCCAGGTAGCTGGAACCACAGGCATGCACCACCATGCCTGGCTAACTTTTTTTTTTATTGTGAAGACAAGATCTTGCCATGTTGCCCAGGTTAGTCTTGAACCTGTGGGCTCAGGCAATTCTCTCGCCTCCGCCTCCCAGAACGCTGGGATTATAGGCGTGAGCCACAGTGCCCGGGCCTTATTTTTTTAATTACTTAAGATGAGATTTTTTAATTACTTAAAATGTGCATTTTTATTTATTTATTTATTTGGGTCTAAGTCTCACCCTGATGCCCAGGCTGGAGTGCAGTGGTACGCTCATGGCCATCACAGCCTTGATCTGTTGGACTCAGGCAATTCTTCTGCCTCAACCTTCCAAGTAGCTGGGACTTCAGGTCCGCGCCACCACACCCGGCTACTTTGTTTTTAATTATAGAGACAAGGTCCTGCCAAGTTGCCCAGGCTGAACTCAAACCTCTGGGCTCAGGCAGTTCTCTAGCCTCAGCCTCCCAAAGTGCTGAAACCACAGGCATGTGCCACCATGCCCAACTCATTTTTTTTGTTTATTGTAGAGACAAGGTCTCTACAAGTTGCCCAAACTGGTCTCAAATCCCTAGGCTCAGGCAATCCTCTAGCCTCTGCCTCCCAAAGTGCTGGGATCAAAAGCATGAGCCACTGCACCCAGCGATAATTAGTAAATTTTAAAATGCAGGACCAGCCGGGCTCGGTGACTCAGGCTGTAATCCTGCGCCTTGGGAGGCTGAGGTGAGTGGATTGCCTGAGCCCACGGGTTCGAGACCCGCCTGGGCAACTTGGTGAGACTTCATCTCTACAATAAATCAAAAAAGTAGCCTGGCATGGTAGCGCGCGCCTGTAGTTTCAGCTACTTGGAAGGCTGAGGCAGAAGGATCGCCAGAGCCCAGCAGGTTGAGGCTGCAGTGGCCGAGAGCGGCCACTGCACTCCAGTCTTGACGACAGAGTAAGACTCCAACTCAAAAAAAAAAAAAAATGCAGGACCAATCTTCCCTCCCAAGTTAGGGAGGTAGGTCATGAGACCCCACTGAATCTTCACCTCTGTTCTACGAAACAAGTACTCCCACTGTACAGAAAAGGAAGCAAACACCCATGGGGGCTATGCTGTCCAAGATTCCTAAGCAGGTACACTGTAGCACTGGGATTTCAATGTCCCTCTAACACTCAGCCTGTCCTCATTTCCCCAGAGCACTGAGGTGGCAGCAAGGAAAAATAGTCATCCCAAAACTAGTCATCAAAGAAATGCAAATTAAAACCGCACTGAGATACCACCTAACTCCAATCAGGATGGCTGTCATCAATAACTCAAAAAGCAACAGATGCTGGAGAGGATGCGGGGAAACGGGAACACTTCTACACTGTTGGTGGGAGTGTAAACTAGTCCAGCCTCTGTGGAAAACAGTGTGGCGATTCCTAAAAGATCTAAAAATCAACCTTCCATACAACCCCACAATCCCTCTACTGGGATTATACCCAGAGGAACTCAAATCACTCTGTGAAGAAATACCTGCACATGCATGTTTATTGCAGCGTTATTCACAATAGCAGAAACATGGGACCAACTGTGCTGCCCATCAAAAGAGGACTGGAGAAAAAAAGGGGGGGGTACATCTACACAATGAAATATTACACAGCCATGAACAAGGACAAAATTATGAACTCTGCAGTATCTTGGATGAACTGAGAGTCTATAATACTGAGTGATCTATCACAGAAACAAAGAACCGAGTATCACGTTTTCACTCATAAGCGGACCTTGAACAACTATTGTAATACTATAAGAAAGGGATTGGCAGTAGTGGGAATCTGCCTGGGGAAAGGGGGGCACACCTCATCAGCAAGGGTACCTGCATAATGAACATTTGTATACCTAACCCTGAATTGTACCCCACATCTTTAAAATTTAAACTTAAACTTAAAAAAAAAAAAAGACCAACAACCACTTAGATAGAACTCAGGCATAACAGACCACTATTCAGTCTAAAGATAGAGAAATAGACCAAGGAAATCCTAATCTCTAATTTCTTCTTCTCCATCTTCCCCTCCTTCTCCTTCTCCTTCTTCGAGTCAGGGTCTTGCTCTGTTGGCCTAGCTCGAGTGTAGTGGCATAATCAT